GAGTGAGACGGTGAGTGAGTGAGACAGTGAGTGAGTGCTTCTCTGTGTTTTTAATAAAACATTTTTTAATGTCCATGACAGCAACCTAGGCTGTACAGGCTATTAAAAAAATAATCATTCTTAGACTCAAATGACTTGCTTCCTATACCTAAACAATTATTTCATTAATGCCAAACCCCAAAGATACTCTTAACTTTCATCCACTTGGCATGGACTCATTTCTTCATTCTGTGAGGCGGCATGAAATACCTGTGTCTATTCAAGCATGCTTCTTCCCCTGGGGCCCTTTCCTCACAGTTCCTTTGTGGAGGAAGAGAACGAGGAACGTGACCATGAAGAGGAAGGACCACCATCTAGGATAGATGCCCCGCTTTGTTTCCAGGTGTGAGCAGACTGATAGGACCAGCGAGGATCGAACTCACCCAAGTTGCAGCTGGTGACAAATGACGGATGCATCGGAGTCATCCCAGTGGCTGCTACACACTGTGCCCCAAGCACCGTGTGCATATACTTCCACTGTTCCTTCAAACTCATTTTTGCCACCTCGAAGCCGTACTGCCCCTAAAGTAAAAAAGGAATGCCAAAGCCCTCAATAACAGATCACAGAACATACTGAGCCAATTCTTTTACTTATTTATTTTATACATCTTTTTATTGGGGGCTCTTACAACTCTTATAACAATCCGTACATCAATTGCATCAAGCACCTTTGTACCTATGTTGCCATCACCCTTTTCAAAATATTTTCTTTCTATTGAGCCCTTGATATCAGCTCCTCTTTTTTCCCTCTGTCACCCTCCCACCTTCGTGACCCCATGATAAATTATAAATTATTATTATTTTCATATCCACACCAGCCGCTGTCTGCTTTCATCCACATTGCTGTTATTTGCCCCCCCCGGGGGGGGTATTTATACATTGATCATTGGTTCCCCTTTTCTCCCCCTTCTTTCCCCACCTTCTCCCTACCCTCATGGTATCACTATTCCCATTATGATTCCTGAGTGCTTTATCTGTCCTGGATTCCGAATGTCGAAAACTCTTATTTGTACCAGTGTACATGCTCTGGTCTAGCCAGGTTTGTAAGGTAGAACTGAGGTCATGGTAGTGAAGGGGAGTGGGGAGGAAGTATTCAAGAATTAGAGGAATATTGGGTGTTTTGTCAGTGCTATACGGCACCCTGACTGGCTCTCCCTGCCTTGTGAGCCTTCTGTAAAGGGATGACCAATTGTCTACAGATGGGCTTTGGCTGTCCACTCCGCTCCCCCTCCACCTCATTCTCATCGATATGACTGTTGGTTTGGGGTCTTCTGACGTCTGATACCTGATCCTGTGGACGCCTTGTGATCACACAGGCTGGTGTGCTTCCTTGGCTTTGGTGCTTCCCTGCTAGATGGCCGCTTGTTCAACTTCAAGCCTTACTGATCACAATTTTCACACTGGAGGTGAGAGATCCAGCCAAAGTAATTCAGCCTCCACTGTTCAAAGTCTATGCTTTTTCTTTAAATTAGGATTCAACAAGCTATTTTTTAATCCATTCTGCTATTGGTGGAAATTATAAAATGCAATGTAGTTATTTTGAAAAACAGATTCAAAAATGTGTTCTTATTGAGTTGATTCCAACTCACAGTGATCCTATGGGACTGAATAGAACTAAGGCACCGCAGGGCGTCCCAGGCTGTGATCTTGAGCTGAGAAGCAGAATGCGTATCTTTCTCCAGTGGGGCTGAGGGGCTGGGAGGTTCAAGCCTTGAACCACTGACCTTCCCGTTAGCAGGCAAGAGCTAAACTGCTGCCGTACCAGGATTCCTTAACATAGCTACACTTTTTTCATTTGAAACAAAGCAGACGGTTCGATTATAGTTTCACGAGGAAGGAATTACTAAAATAACTATTACCTTGAATTCTTAACATTTATGTCGCACCTTCCTTTTTGACATAAGGCCATAGATAAGAAACACAGGACAAAATAGTCAATTCTCCAACTAGCAAATAGCTATGATTTGCTTTGATACAGTGTGCTTCTGTATCAAACTTGCTCATCCACTAATGAAGAGTAAAGTGCTTTTTTTTCCTCTCCTTTTATCACCAAGCAAAGTCAAGAAAGCTCTAAAGATTATGACCATACTTTGAAGAAACATTCTTTCCTTTCACAAACATTGCCTAATATTAGTCTAAGGAAAGCGTATGCAGTTGTTTGGTATAATTAAATCTCTCTAGAAATTCACCTCTCCTTACACATCTGGAGACACCTCAGTGGGTTTGAAGCACCCATCTGCCATCTAACACGTGAGCACATGTAACCATGTGCAACACTCAGGACTTCCTTCATACTTTTCGGACCTCTTTGACACTGTCTAAGCGTCCTTTGAGAAGCCCCAGTGGCATAGTGGTTACTTGTTGCACTACAAACTACAAGGTCAGCTGTTCAAAACCAGCAGCCACTCCATGGGAGAAAGACAAGGCCTTCTACTCCCATGAAGATCTACAGTCTTGAAAACTCCCAGCGCCAGTTCAACCTTGTCCTGTAGGGGCACCAAGAGTCCGAATGGACTGGGTGGCAGAGAGTGAGAGAGAAAAGTCCCTGGGGGGTGCAGCGGGTGAATGCCAACAGCAGCAAGCCCAAAAGTTGCTGAGGCAAGTCCACCCACAGTGCCTCAGAAAAAGAGGTCTGGCAATCAGCTCTGAACAAATCAGCCTCTGATATGGAGCGCAGCCTTGCTCAGACAGACATGGAGCTGCCAGGAGCGGGGATAGCCTTGACTTAGTTTTTCATCCAGTCTAAGCAAGAGGAAAGCACTGCCCTGCCCAGTGACAAGTGCGAATTACAGAAGATTTTAAAAGAAATATGTCTGAAGAGTTCAATGGCAGTTCAAAAATTTTTTAATCACAAAATTCCTTTGACAGAGATCTACATACTCTTATAGTTACCACAACTACCAGGAGTTTATTGCAAATTTAAAAAAATACTCATGTATTCACCTCAAACAAAACATTCTTTGAGATATTAAATAAATGTGTGACTTCTTTGTTAACTACCCATCAGATTACCCGTGTCAAAAAAGATTGGAAAATGAATTAATAACATGCAAAAGGATACTGCTCAATAATGTCCTGATACATTTTATAGCGCGGATGGACCTTGAAAACATTTTCAGAGTGAAGTAAGTGGATCAGAAAAGGACAAGTGTTATTTGATCACATTTACGTAAAGTAACATGAAGAGGCAAATGGAGAGAGACTATAAACTTTTATTCGTGGTTACCAGGGATGAGAAAGAGGGGGCAAGTGGGAGCCACAGTTTTAGGAAGCAGTGAGTTTCTGTTCATGGTTTGGGGGATTATTAGTGTAACTGACGTCACCATATTGTACACCTGGAAAACAATCATTTTTCACTGGTTGTATAGCACATTCAGATTTTGCAATCAGATACAAAGGACAGTTAAAATTCATATGTGGCAATCAGAGATACAGAGGTTCAAAAATTAGAAAATAAAAGAGAAGATATGATTTTTTAAAGGTTCGGAGGTGAATGGATTACCAGTGTTCTCATAATCCGATGGATATTATTCCATCAGAGAGGGAAATGAAGTTCAGGTCCTTGCTATAACATAGATAGATCTAGAAAACATCAGGTGAAGTCAATGAGTCAGCTACACCAGCACGACTATGTCATCGACTTACATGAACTATCTAGGAGAGGCAAGTACGAGAGACAAAGGCTTATCTGTGGCTACCAGGGCCCCGGGGAGAGGGACACGGGAATGCTTGTTTAAGTGGTGCTGAATTTCTGTCGAAGATAATGAAGACTTATGGGAAAGGATAACACAGTGTGGGGAATGCTGTCAACATCACCAAATTACCCACTTTCAGAATGGTTAAAATTATATTTTTGTTGAATCTATTCAATGTCAGTTATCTTTTTTAATAAACAGCCAGAAAAATTTGTACGTAAACGGAAACTCTACTTATGCATCATTAAGTAATCTAATGTATATACCTTCACAATAGCATCTTGCATCCCTCATCAGAAAGCAATCAAAAGGAAATGATTGTATGCCTGTTATTTAAATGTTTAAGGCACGAATAGATGGAGAGGAGAAAACACTGCATAAAATCTAATTATGGTCATAAACTCCTTCTAATGGCCAGGATAGAAGCGGAAATAGTGTCCAGGTCCACTACCAATCCATCATCATTTCTCAGACGCTTCAAACACACCGGGATTCGTTTAGCTGCATCTGCTCCATGGGAAGCATGGCTGCTCATCCAATCTGCCTTTACCAAAGGATAAGAAATTTGCAATTCTGAACTTTTCATTTGCATGTCAATGATTACTTATTTTTCCTTGAGAATTCCCACCCTCAGCCTCAGCTCACACACTTTCTAAGCAGTACTCCAACACTAAGTTTATCATTTCTTTAGGGTCGTCAAAAGTTGTGAAATAGTCCAAAGAATCCATTTGCCTTGGTCTCCCGGGTGAGTACTTGTACATGATGTATAATTCTATGAAGTTCCCAATTTTTCTAATAAATATGTAGAAGATTGTATCCATACTATCAGCCCAATAACATGCTTCTGAATATTATTGTGGGGAACAAATATATGTAGGGAAACAAACAGATGTAGGGAAAAACCCTATATCTTAAATATAATTGATGGAGAACATTTATTAAGTCTTAAACAGGACAAAGACACATTATGTGGATGAAGGTGACCATTAGCACAAGGTCATCATAGTATCCGAGGGTTTACAGAGAACCCGCAAAAGTATTATTAACAGCAAATCAATACATCGCAGTTTCAGGAGAGACGACAGAAGCAGGAATGGAATCCCGATTGGACAAATACAATATGCTAGACAGAAGAGCTTCAAGATCGGTACAAGGTAGTCTCCCACGAGGGCAGTCATGATATAACTCATTACTATGCAACCCCAGTACCTAAAGTTCAAGAGAAAGTAAATATTTAGAAAATAATGATGGCAACATATGTAAAAATATGCTTGATATAATTTATACATGGATTGTTATAAGACTTATAACAGCCCCCAATAAGATGATCTTTTAATAAAAAAAAAAAAGTATCCAGGCAATTCCTTAAGGCCTAGAACTGCCCCTGCCTGGATGGCTAGGGAAGAGGTGGTGGTAGGTGACATCCAGTGGGTTCTGACACACCCACGCACACCAGTACAGGAAGGCCGGTCCTGCGCCATCCTCAAACTGGTTTCGATGCATGAGGCCATCATCGCAGCCACTGAGTCAATCCATTTGTCCAGGGCTTTCCTCTTTTTTGCTGTCCCTCCACAGGGTAGTGGTAGTAATCCATTTTCTTTTCTTGTTTTAATTAGTTTGATTGGTATATAATTCACTTTCTATTACACTCGGTCTGAGGGCAAGGCTAGCAGATGAATGGTCAAAAGGAATTCAGGAAGGTTTAATCCACATGGAGACTCAAAATTGGATTTTGGACTTTTCTCGTAATCGTTTGCCTTCTGCAAACTTAGTGCTCAGAATTTAGACTCTAAAATAGTTTTAAAAGTGTTAAGTATACAACTGCTA